ATACCCAGCCGGGCGGGGGCAAGGGATGGTGCCGGCTGCCCGGTGAGGGGTGCGGGGCAGCCTTTCCCTCTGCTGCGCGGCTCCGTAACCGGTAAAAACCTGGAGCTGCCCCAGATGCTCTCCTTGCTGCGTCTCTGACTTCATTTATTTATCTCTTTGTTTATTCAGAAAATAAAGACTTCCTATTAGCAGTGCCGCTTTTGCTTTCGCGTGCTGACGGTGTGTCCTGACGGTTTTTGTATCTGACAGTGAAACCTGGGGTGCTTTGGAATAAGGTGGAAGACTGATTTGTTTTATTAACCTTTTTTTCTGGATTTTTAATGGAACCTAATCTTCCGTCGCACCTAATATCAGTTCCTTCTAGAAGCCGTAATAATTACGTGGTGTTATTATCTATACAGACTTTTAGTCTGCCCTTGAAGCCATGAATTTAGGGATTATGTCCTGTAAGGCTGAACTCCACCACCTAATGACAGTGGGAAAAAATAGTTGAGTTTTTTTTGGTATTTAATGAATGCCTTTTGTATTTGTTGTGATCCATACTTTTTTAACAATTCTGTCTGTCCTTTCTATTGCATTAGTGGAAAACTTTTTTTTTTTTAACTAAATCCAAACCATATTCTTGCTCATCAGTGTGAACAGTTCTAAACGCTACAAATTCTTTGACCAAGACGTGTTTCATAAAGATCGATAATTGTTATCCTCACTGCTCTGAATTTTGTAAGAGGGCAATAGCGCTTTCAGAATTGGGCTGGTCAGATGTGCAAACAAAATTTTAAATGGAAGGTTGCTAGTGATTCTCACTACACTGGTTAATCTGATATTGAAGCAGAGGATTGCTCCCAGGATCCATTTTTCTGTCCCATGTGTGAGATAATACATTTGAAACGGCTTCAGTATTGGTTTTATGAACATAGTGTCAAGCTTATTGAAATCTTATTTAAAATGTTCCTACCAGTTGTAATAGTTTGGAGAAATTTGGATATTAGAAACAAAGGGAAGAAGCAGCATGCTTAGTAATTGGAGTTCCCTTTCAAGAAATTTGCTATTGGTGAGATTTAAACTTTTGTTACATTTAAAAGCTAGGCTTGTGAAGGTTAGAACATAAAGTGGAGATGATAATGCAGTTTTCTGATAATTTTGTACCTGCTTAGGTAAAACAGTCACTTTAGATAAAACAATCAGAGGTCACACTCTGAAGGTACTCTTGGGTACCTGAGTACCCTGTAATGTACTCTGAAGGTACATTACTTTCTCTTGTGTCTCATAATCCATTTTGCTCTTATACAATGAATATTAAAATTAGTATTTGTCTCTGATTTAAATTTTTGCTTCTAAATCAGTCTATCGCTCTGTTTAGGCTAAGAAGTATATAATATTTGTACTTGGATTGTTCTACAATTACTTCCTGTTCATGCAGAATTTACACGTTCCTTTTCATCTCAGTGATTTTGCAGGTTATAAGGAATGAAGTTCTTGGTGATGCTTGAGGTAGCATCAATTTTCAGACAAACTCTGTTCCGTTAGGCAGAATGTTATATATAAACCGATATTTTCTTCAGCCTCTCCTTTCATAAGCTTGTTATGTATAACCATAACAAAATACATCATCCAGGACCCTGGATTTATGCAGGTAGACTAATTCTTTCCCTCCTCCTCGCTCTTCCACAAGGTTGTTCTGCTCAGAGTTCCTTTCCCAATATGCATAGATGAGAGTTGCGTTGCAGAACTTAAACTCATAAGTACAGCTCCTGTGTTACTTTCTATATATCTGTGTTCATGGGTATCCTGTAATAATAATTTTCTAGTTCTAATAAGCTTTCTTAATTAATACAAGAGCTTTTTTTCTTTCTGTCTTTCTTTGTTCCAGATGGCATTATCAGAGTCTGTGAGTACTTGTCTTTCTCCTGCTGTGCATTATGTGATGTGCAAACTTGGATTTGAGAAAAAAGGCACCTATGATATTAATAATATTGTGTCTGAAAATGGTGAAATATGTTGGCAAGCTATTACAGATCACGTCTGTTACCTTGAATCAGGTTGGTGTTTGCCTGCTGTGGTAACGATACGTCTAAGACTGATGCAGAATCTTAGTACAGTTCACAGCAATCCTAGTTTTGTTATGACGTTTTATTACATTATAACATTATTTTCCCTGCGGATTAGGGTATATATAGCTCTCATCTAGGTGGAAATTTAAACTTTTTATCCATGAGTAGTCGGTATTTGATTATTACCGATTCCTAAGATTCATGTAATCTGTGCTGCTTGGGTAGGTCTTCCTTTGCTTCCTCATTCATTTAGGCTCCAACTCTACGTCCCTATACGTAAGGGGTTCAATTCTCCTCCTCTCCTATCTCATAGGTTTTTTCCTCTATATTCTTTACATTCTTTCTGCAGCAAATTTAAAACGCTGGGGCCCTCTTTATTCCTTGTTGCTTCTCAGGTTCTGTTTCCCAGACCATCATTTCTACAGAAGTACAGTTTGATTTCATTTATGTGTGTAGAACAGCTTATAATTGTTTTTTAACCAAAACAGAAAATATTTACGCCCAGATAAACTAGCTGAATTCTAATTTGCCAAATTGCATCTCACAAATGCTGTTAATCTCCAAAGATGGTAAAAATGACAGGTATTTCTCCCTCAAACAATACAGTTCAGTAACTCAGAAGAATTTATTTTGGTTGTAAATATCTTGCCAAAGAGGAGTAGTGACACCACATTATAAGAACTGGAAGTATCCATCTGCATTCCTAAAGGATATAAGCGGTACAGTTTCCCTGAACCTACATTAGCTTACGGCTTGCTTGTCTTGAAGTTCTGCGCTCTTCTTCTGGTAGCTCCTTACCATTTCAACAAAAATGGAACCTAACAATCCCCTTTTACTTTTCATATTTTCTTGCATACAATTTTTTTATTTGGAAAAGGTACTTGATCTTGTCTTTTTTCACACTGTACTTTCCCTTTTGTGCATCTCATTTGTGTGTTCTTTTGGGCAGTAAATTATAGTGCGTTACTCCTGTTAAATCATCTGGTTACAATCCTCTGGTTAAAATCCTCTGGGCTAGATACATACATGGGCTGTAACACGTTTTACTTTTTATAGATTTTAAAATATTTGATTTTTGGGAGGTTCAGTGCTCTAATCACTTCCTGTTTTTCCCTTTAAGATCAAAGTGTGGATTATATCAAAAGCATACGATCACTAGGACCTCTATGTGAATCTGTTAATTTGCATTTCAAATCTCTGACCAAGGAGCAGTTTGGAGCTCAGTATGCATTATGGTTCCAGTGGACAAACTACGCAGAGGTATGGAAATGTCTGTTGACGGTTAGTATTTTCGCATGTGTACCTGTTACGGGAGTTTAGCGTATGAATTAGCAATGAATCAAAATGCTTAGAATTTGTAACTAATTGTCCTTTTCTGATATATGATCACTTCCTGACTTTCCTAACTTTATAATTAGAGTATATATATGTTATCACTAAAAGAATGGGAGATGTTTGGGGCCTGCTCTAACCTAAGATGGCAGGCTTTTCGTTTTTCTGTAAAGCCTGATGAGCTCTGTCTAACATCAAATTTTACTGTGTAAAGTCATTGTTGATAACTGCTATAGAAGTGAGGCACTAGATACCTTGTGACTGAAAAATAAGAGGTGTTCTAGGTTAGTGACCTTTTAAGCATCTGTAGTTGTATCCCCTAGGCAGTGGGTTTTTTTCCTGTATTTGCATAATGAGTATCACAGAGGAATACTGTGGTCAGGTTTCTTTGTGTTTTTGACAATTTGATTTCTTCCTTCTGAATATTTAACACAGCGTTCTTCCTCTTTCCCCCCCACCCTTCAATCATACAGTTATTTCTTGAAGTATTTGATGCGCTACAATATATGCAAACTGCAGAAATTGCTCTTGGCTTAATGAAACTGACATCGTGCTTGGAGCGAGCCTTGGGTGATGTAAGTGTCAGCAGGAGGATTGTATTGTGGTTTGGCTTTTATACGATGGGAATGAGCTCTTGCATTTTATTGCACTTT